ATATATATATATAAACAAATATAAACAAAAAGATCTATATTTCAGGAGGAAAGATAATGTTCTCTCACTTGTCTCTTAAAGATAGAGATTGACTTGGCATCCCGAATGTTCGGCGGGAGTGAGTTCCATAGTCTCACTGCATGAACGGAGAAGGAGTAGGAGTAGAAGTTGGTATTATGGGGCACAATTTTTTTAAATTTAATTTATTTTTATGACTCACATTCGCATTAAAAATTGCGAATGTCAAAAAATACCTGACGAACATTCGTTCATCACTAAGACCTATCTATGTCGCAGTCATTTGGTTTAATCTGCTATTTGATTAAATGACCAGCTCGTTGATCAAACGACTAATGGACAACTCGTCAAACAGTAAAATGTAACGTAACGTCCAACGTCTTCACTGAAGGCTGATGGTAGGCTATATAGAATAAAACGTCACGCTACAGTCAATTGGAGTTGAGCAGTGGTAATATCGCGTGAGAGTAGCAAGTCTTCAAAATAAACGCTAACTCCATAATACAAGTTTTCCTGTATCGTGCTCGTGCCCGCCTGCTTGACAAAATAAAAGGCATTAAGTAATTTTCGCTACGATTGTCAAATGCTGTCGTTAACCAATACAGGCTCTGTGGAATTCAGAACCCCGCATTTTCGTCTCCTAATTTCCTGGTCCGTTCCATCAAACCTGCAGCCTGTTTGTGGTCGACCAGAATGTCTCGCTCACGAATGATAGCCGTGCAAACAAGAGCGAGCGCTGAAGAAGTCACTATTAGTACCTAGCGATGCAGATGCCTACACTTTATGATGAGTAGGTAGTTGTAACAGGTGGCCTACAGTCACAGACGGTTGGTAAAGCACGTGCACAGATTTGGTCAATCGAATGACATAAATAGTGAAAGACTCGACAGCCTCAAGAGTGGCAAGACAGCACAAACAATGGTGACTGAGCAAGTGAGCACGAGAGTCAGGGCGCGTGTTACGTAAGGCGGCGGCGCGCCTGCGCGGAGCTCGCGCCGCGCCACTGTGCCAGTACTGGCAGTGTCACGGCCCGAGCCGCCGCACTCCCGGCCGCGCCCGCTCTCCGCGCAAGCTTGCGACTCCATGACAAACATGCTCCACTACAAATTATCTTAAAATATAGCATAGCTGAGACCTAAGGTCGGAAGCGCGCTCCCATCATCTCATGTGCTGGTGGACAGCACGTTAAGGGCCGGACGCGCCGAGCCGTCTGTCGAGGCTCGCGTGTCGAGCAGTCGCTGGCGACGGCCGTGGTGCGGGCCGCGCCATCCGAGCTTGCAGAGTTAATTTGACGTAGCCGTAGACATTCGATCGCGTGTGCGGTGCAGTGTTGGTGTGACGCGAGTGAGTGCTCGTATTGAGCGATGCGAGCGCTGGTGCCGCGGGCAGTACGAAAGGTGGACGGCCGCCGCCGCTGCTGCTAAGTGGATTATCTCGAGCTGAGCAGCGCCGTGGCCTGCTGCCGCGAGCCCTACTTCTGCTGGATGGTCGCTCACACACGTAAACAATAGTATCGATCTCGACAGTGACTGCCACCGTTGTGTACGTACTTCACTTGTTTGTTTCCTTTCCTTACCAGCGACAATGATGTAGCTCTGGTTCGCCTGCAAGCTCTGTAACGTTCCCTAAGTTTAGTATTCATCGCTTTGTATCGATGACTACTGACTACCTACTCATGTGACGCCTATAGTTCCCATAACATTTAGAATCCTGATTTTGTACACTTAATTATGTAAGTGTTTTAAAATAATTATTTTATGTCATTGAACTCCTTTTAACAGTTACTCGGTATCTTCAAAATTAATATCAAATGGTAATTTTCTGAGGCAGAACGAGAATGAGGCAGAGGTTGTAACTAAGCAGTGTGGTTGGGTAGCTTAAATTCTTGTATATTTATTAATCATATAGCCTAGCACTACGTTATTGTCGAGACTGGATGTCCAACCAACCAAAACACAATAGGTACCTATCATGTTTACCCCGACGTTAACGGTACTAAAGTTTGACAAGTCTGTGCAGTTGTGTGCCTACTCGTATGTCTGCCGATGTCATCTATTGGTATTGAGTAGTTACATGTTTACTAAGCAGGTAAGTAGTTTACTACTGCAGGAAAATTAATTCTCAAGTAACTGCCTAATTTGATTGTATACCTCTAATAAAAGTCATTGTAGGTACTTTGTAGGAACCTAACGTAGGTAGGCACCCACAAAATTAACTATTCTGAAAGAGAGAGAATTCAGGGTACGCACCGAGTAAATTTTATTAAATTAGGTACTCACTTACAAAATTTCTTTTTTATTTCGAGAAGGACCTACTTACTAAGTGTAGTGTAAGTACAGTGCATAGCATCTGTTTCTAAAAAATATGAGACGCACTGCGATGGCACGTCACTTGGTCCATATTCTTCTACAGTTTCATCAGTTGACGGATTGAACTTGAAGGCATTGTACCCATAGTTAACGGAAATGTATGTGATAAAATCGCCTGGAATTGTGTGAAATAAATCATTTCAGACACATTTTCTAGGAAATCTAATCATTGTCGTAAGTAAACAATATTATTAAAAAATCACACATTTTTCACCTTTCTTGAATAATACTTTCGGATTTGTATTGTAGGTACATTTTCTAGGATTTTTATACAATTCCTAGATTTCATGCATTTCCGGTAACAGTAACATATACACGTAAATGTATTATAAGTTTGTGTACGCACTATCGTTTATTATATTAGCCTGCAGTGTCTGTTGATCTGTCAGTTTTTCACGACAAAACGAAACAAAACAGAGCACGCAGTGACATAGACGTAGGCTACTTTTTACCGACTTCAAAAAAAGGAGGAGGTAATAGTACCTCCGAACATAGGTTCGGCTGATTGTTTTTTTTTTTGTTTGTTCGCGCAGTACTCCGCCATTTGTGAACCGATTTCCAAAATTATTGTTTTGTTTGAAAGGGTATACTCCCGAGATCGTCGCGGAGAACCTAACGGGTAACCGGGGCTCCGGCTCGACGTGCAGGAGAAGGAACGGGGTGGTTTTTAGTCAGTAAGAGTCTGACACTCCCTCCCGCCTCACCCAGGCGGGGGCAGTCATTCGATGATTTTCCCCCCTTAAAAAAAAAAAAAAAATACTCCCGAGATGGTCCCATTTCCATGAGATCAGAATCTGATGATGGGATCATAGGGAAACCGAGGGCAACTTTCGAAAATTCTATGGGCGAGTAATCCGTCTATTATGTTTTTCAATTAGGATTTTTAAACACTACAATTTGATAAGTGTCTAGAGTCGAAGGTAGGTACCTAGTTACACACTACAATTAACCACATCTGTAATTATTACTAAAAGTATAAATAAGCAGACCGACAGTCGAGGGAACTCCTCATCGGTTTATATGAACTACCTTGTGTTTGGGCTTGATTAATTTGTATTGATAAGGACTTTACACCTAGATAGAGTGGGGCTATCATTAAGGGTCTGATGATGAACAAATGTAATTGTTAAGGGAACTCTTCAACGGTTTATAGTAAGTAAGTACCTTGCTACCTTGTGTTTTGGGCTTGTATAATTTGTATTGATTAGAACTTTGCACCTATGTAGATTATAAGTGACAAAATGGATCTAAGTAGCTTTACACTGAAAATGATAAAATATTAAAATAAAAACTGCGTTTAAAAAACCGACTTAAAAAACCAAAAACAATAAAAAACTAAAAGGCAAAATTAAAAAGCAATAATTTACTATTACTATTTAGGACTGATAGGTTACCCACCCACTGATAGTGTAGAAGTCGGTGCCATAAGCTCATATCATAATCATAATGATATAACTTAATGGCCACATAATTTACAATTAGGTATCTATTAAGGTTTAAATGAAATACTTTTGAATAGAACTGATGGCGCCGTCTTCTATCAGTGGGTGGGTAACCTATCACTTATCAGTACTAATAATAGTTATTTTTTGGTTTTTAGTTTTGCCTTTTGTGTTTGTTATTGATTTTTTGAAGTCGGTGTTTGAAACGCAGTTTTTATTTTATTATGTAATTACACATAACTAGATGATAGGCATGTCGTGAATCGTGATTCATGACGGACGAACAATATTAGTTATGCGTGGTTGAAGGACACGTCTCGGCCGCCGACCGCCGACCGCCCAGCACACATGTTGCGGCGTGCTGAGACTCCACTAAACTGTTAATTGTATTACACAGAGCGGTGATTCGGTACACTACACACTTGACAACTTAACCTTAAATTGACTCTTCTGCTTCTGGCCCGCCATGGCTGACGAGTGACGGCCGCCTGCTTTATATTACCATGGCCCGTGGGATGTTCACGAGATGAATTTTAGCAATTCACAAAAACATTCACCTCCAGAGGTACGTGCGCCCGTCCTCGCCACCTCGGTACATGCGGTAGGTAGGTACGTACGACCGGCCACAGGACTCAGGAGGGAAATATGAAATAACCATAGTATTTTTGTTCGTTGACACAGGGCACAGGATTTTAAAGATCGACAACGCTCTCATGTCGTCACAAGTTTGTTTAAAAGATAGATACCTATTTAAAAGCCTTGGATAGATTTTATCGTGGAAGTCCCACGGGAACCGGAACACACTTTAAAATACCGGGACTCTCGATTCTCTCTTTTAAACCACTTAAGTTATTTGGGTAAAATTCGATACAGTTTCAAACCCGGATAGTTTTTATCCCGGAAATCGGAAACGGAACCAGTGTCATATGGAAGGTAAAAACTTCTGCGGGCTGTATCTTTTAAACCACAGAACCTTTTACAACCTTACTATAAAGGAAAACTAAAAAGCATTGAATCAGTTTATAGTTCAGTAATTAGTTCTATACTCGGAATTTTAATTCGATTCCAGATTTGACAATTTCAGTGTTGCAACGTTATGACAAGTACTAAATAGTGACGTTGCGAAATTATTCGATATGGAAATGCAATATTTCTGGATCGATTCTTCTCATTTATTATTTATTCCCGTAAACTAAGTATATCAGGAAATTAAATATTTCTGAACCGATAATTTAGTTTTGACGATTAATTAACGATCTGAGACTTTTCTTTTATAATTGTGTGTGAAATAAATAAAAAAATGTAATCATGAAGGATCATGACAATAAAACAGATAGATGTATTATGGTAATAAGTTATTTTATAAATTGTCGCCGTCATCGCTATCGCTATCCTGTCACTTTCTGTAACATTTATTTTAAAACACACACACTGATTGTTTTTCGTTTTTGTGTTCATCACTACACTATTTATATGTGGTATCATTATTTCACAAAATGACATTAGGTATTGTCAAATCTGGAATCTAATTAAAATTCTGACGTATAGGAATGGAATATTGACCAACAGTCATTTGTCTTGTGTCCCCACAAGCTTTTATTATTGCATTGGCGACACTTTCTTACAAAGAATATGCGGCCATCATGGCGGCTTACAGTGCCGCTAATGGTGTCGCTCGTGTAGCGCCAGGAACACTTTCCTGGGAGACAATTACGATTACCTGGCCGCACACACCGACGCACACGCGAGACTAGCAATGTCACTTTTACTTTTAATGAACCATGGGACATATGTTTTTGAAATCACTATTTAGAATATTAGCCTTGGGTGACTCGATTTACAATTTTCTAGCAGTCAAACAATCCCAACGACCAACTGTTGGTCAGGAAACCCGCCAGGCACGATCACCTCACCTAGTCGAAAGATCTTGCTTTTCCTAGGGTACTTCACACTCTGTCCCCTAAAACGTCAACTCGACTTGAGGCATGCAAGAAAGAGCTGGAAGCTAGATTTAGTAATTTAAGAATTTCTCAATCAAAATGTTTTTATTACAATTTGCTATGTAGTTTTATGTGACTTGATTTACAATTCTAACGAATTCACAATGCTGTAAAAAGACTTTCAGGGCATGTGGAATAGCATTAGCAAAAGGATGGACTGGGAAATTATTGAGGAAGTTGGAAAATTCCGGTCGCTTTTGCTTATTTTTCTAGCCATATAAATAGGCAGTAATTTAAGTTTTACCTTTGCGAGTCTTCTAAACCAAAACTAGATGATTAACGTCGCTAATTTTCTATTTAAAAGTACATTTGAACAATAAACATCAGAACAAAATTCAGAGTGTACTTCTTGTATGTACTTTTTTAAATTGGTATTTTAGCCGTCCAGCCGTTGTATTACAAAACGCCCCTGATTTTCCAAACGGCTAGCCGTAATGTAATACGGCGTATTATAACTCGCCTGCCACATTTAGATGAAGTGACAGTTCACGGAAAGCGTCTCAAAAAAAGCGTACGGCGCGATGACGCGCGACCACTACGGATGGGTCCCAATAGGGCTGATGACGGCGCCGCGGAGGACTTAACGGGTGGCCGGGACTCCGGCTCGAAGGGCAGGAGTAGGAATGGGGTGGTTTTTAGTCAGTAAGAGTCTGACTCCCTCACGCCTCACCCAGGCGGGAGAAGTAATACGATGATTTCCCCGTCTTTAAAAAAACAAAAAAAAATTGTATCAATCGTGTCACTTAGTCTAAATAAATTCGTAAACAAAAAAGTGCATTGCAAAAATGGCCACAAGGATTATAAATTACGTTTAAAAATACTAAACAGATCGATTATTATCCATCGTTTAGTACCTACATAACTACAAATTATATTATTTAATTTATGCTTTTAACCCAACTAATTGCCGCCATATTATAAATGTTGCCAATTTATTTTCAATTTATTCTCATAAAGAGGGGAAAATTGTAAAAAAAATGTCACTTGCTTGTGAAATAAAAATAAAATTATGGTTTTATTATTTATTGAATTTACTTTCAATAGTTTTAATATATTATTTATTAACTTTTACCCGTGGCTTCGTTCGCGTCACAAAAGGGTAAAAGTATCCTATGTGACTATCAATGCCTTCAGTTAAAAAAGCACGTTAATTAGTACCTCCGTTTTGCCGTTTAAGACAGGCAAACAAACAAATAGCTACTACTACTCGCATGGAATTCGATTATATCGCGCTTTATAGATTTTTCCGTGGGAATGAGAAGTTCTGCCGCGGTAAAACCTTGCTTTTTCAGGACTCAAATTACCTTCATACCAAATTTCTTAAAAATCCGTTCAGTCGTTTAGGCGTGAAAGAATAACAGACAGAAGGAATTATTTTCGAAATACCACAAAAACCATCCTCACATTGCAATTTCTAACCTAACCTAACTAATAAACAGCTACTATATTAATCAACCTAAACAATGAACAAAGCGTACGCTTTAATCTAAAGTCAAAGTCAAAGCATTTATTTCAATTAAACCATAGTTTGGTACATTTGAAACGTCAACAAATACAAAATAAATAATAGTCTGGCAGTCAGTCCGTCAGTGAAATTAGGTGAAGCTAGGTGCTCATTCCAAAATGTAGATTCGAATGGAGAAGAACGAGCAAGAAACTCCATTCGTTACCTACTCTTTTTAAAAAAAGTATGTTCTACAATGTCTCTGATACATATTTCAATACTGTACGCATATGTAAGAACAATGCAAAGACACGCTTGACGCATTATACTAATAACTTACCAAAATAAAAAAAAAAATAAAAATCTTAAGTCTAACATGGTGCTCACATATGCATACTGACAATCCATAGAAATAGTGCTTCTATACAAGAAAAAGGAAACTCTTTGTTTCAATAAAGAAAGAAATGCTCGATGCCATAAGGAAACTAGATTGTCTACATTAGAATTAAAGTATTAAATTATGTTTTATATTACCTACTATTGGAATTTAACTACTGACTACATTTGAGTATTGTCCAGTGGAGCCGAATCAACATGCTGCAAATCATTTATATAGACTAAAAAGAGAAAGGGACCCAATATTGAACCTTGAGGAACGCCCATATTCATCCCAGAGCCCTGTGAGTTAATACCGTTAACATGAACCTTTAACTGTCTTTCTTCTAAATAAGATTTCATAAGACGGAGCGCAGAGTTTCTTATCCCGTAATGATCTAATTTCAGCAAAAGTGTTTCGTGGTAAACGCAATCAAATGCTTTTGAGAGGTCACAAAATACACCAATAGCATCCTGTGCTTCCCCCCAAGCACCAAATATTTCCTTAATCAAAGTGACACCGGCGTCAGTTGTGCAACGACCTTTAGTGAAACCGTATTGTTGTTGGTGAAAGATGGAATGTTTATTAAAATGATGAAGCATCCGAGACAGCATCAACTTTTCAAAGACTTTGCTGAGAACCGGTAAAACAGACACTGGCCTATAGTTGTTAGGTTCTTTAGTGTCACCACTTTTAAATAGTGGGATAACCTTACTATATTTCATTAGGTCAGGGAACACACCGTCATCTATACATTTATTGAAAATCACAGCCAGATATGGCGCTACAGTTTGGATAAGTGACTTTCGTTGGTACTTATCTCATTTTTGTTCAATGAGGCCAACAATTGCCGATCTCCTTTTGGTACGTCATCGTGTCTCATGCAGACGAAGTGACGAATAATGGCCAACATTATTATACAGGTGGCGTGGTGAGTGAGATGGCGGACGGCATGTGACATCACGGCGCCAGGCTAGCGGCGGCATGCCGGGCGGCCGCCGGGGGCTCGTGGCCCCGCAGAACACCTTTCTCGAGAACATCATCCGGCGCTCCTCCTCGCAGCGTGAGTGTCCCAGCACCGTGGTAGAGCACCCCCCCTCCCCCCTCGCGCCCCCGCAGCACTAACCTGTGACCGCTTCTCTGCAGCAGACAGCAGCTTTCTGTTGGCCAACGCACAGATCGTGGACTATCCGATCGTGTACTGTAACGAGACTTTCTGCAAGATGAGCGGCTACAACCGAGCGGAGGTCATGCAGAAATCATGCAGGTGAATGTAATCTTTGGCGCACTTACAATAGCTAGACATCGAATATTCGAAATGGGTCAATTACTCAGTCATTTGGTCGAAAAAATGGAGTTACTTACGTGCAAAGTTGACGTTAACGAAATAGATGTATTTAACTCGTCGGGTACCGGTTTTGTAGACACAATTATAGAACAATAGGTTGCGGTCACCGGTGACCGCTTGGTGTTTGACAGTTTAACCACAGTTTAGCATCATATAAAATTAAATTGCGCAACCTTCTCTTAATCTGATCCTGATCTTTTCCAATTTCTATCTTGCCCCCCCCCACTCCAACAATGGGATAGAATACAAACTAGCTTCTTCCGGTGGCTTCACCTCCAGGGGGTAACAAGTAGCCTATGGCTTACTCCAGAACATAACCTACCTCTGTTCCCGATCGACCGATCGACAGACAGACAAACATTTTTTTTTATCACATTTTTGGGTTCTTTGTCTATCTAGTGACACCCGTACTATTTAACTTTTTAATATTTTCAATGTACAGAATTTACACTTGTACAGTTTTATTATATGTATAATTATGTATAGATATGTTTATGTAGAAATCTCCTTTCAGGCGCATTTTAAGACAAAAACATTTACATACTCCAAAATGAAATTAGACGCAATTTAGAAAGTCTAAAAATCATTTTTTGCAAAATCAATATTTTTGGCGCACGAGTACCGCCTAAAACCTACATTATAAATGTGCATTTAAAAAAAAACTATTTCATTTTATTGGAGACTTGGGTGCCGATCGAGATGTCGCAGGTCGAAACTTCGTCCACATTATCAGCAATGTGATTTGATATTCGGTCGGTTAATAAATTCCAACAATAGATAGGTGTAACAAATGTAGTGTGGCGCCCACAGGTGCACGTGGATGTACGGCGAGCTGACGGAGAAGGAGGCGGTGGAGCGAGTGGACCGCGCCCTCGACCATCACCTCGCCGACCAGTTCGAAATCCTGCTGTACAAGAAGAACCGTACGTAGTGCGGCGAGCGTAGGCAGCGCGCGCCTGGCCGCGTCTGACGTGACGTCACGTGTTGCAGGCACGCCACTATGGCTGCTGGTCCACGTGGCGCCCATCCGCAACGAGCGCGAGCTGGTGGTGCTGTTCCTGCTCACGTTCCGGGACATCACGGCGCTTAAGCAGCCGATCGACGCAGACGACCCCAAAGGAGGCCAGTACTCAGAGTTTCACCCGGCGACTCGCCCCGACCGCTGCGTAACCGAGTGTGTCTGTCGACAGGGCTGTCCAAGTTCGCGAAGCTGGCGCGCTCGGTGACGCGGTCGCGGTCCGTGCTGGTGTCGGCGCTGCCGGCGCTGAAGGAGCCGCAGCGCGCGAGCCACCTGGCGCATGTCAGTACTCCCGCCCACCATGTAATGCACTCTACACTACGCCGCACCGCTGCCGCGAGCTACTTTCGCGATACGAGTTACTGTAACGCTCAGTCCCGCGACCCGCGCATGGCTTGCTGAGCTAGTCGTGGCGCGGGCCGAGGCTGAGACGGTCGCGTGTCGCAGGTGATGTCGCTGTCGGGCGACGTGCTGCCGCAGTACCGGCAGGAGGCGCCCAAGACGCCGCCGCACATCCTGCTCCACTACTGCGCATTCAAGGCCATCTGGGATTGGATCATCCTCTGCCTCACCTTCTATACGGCCATCATGGTGCCCTACAACGTGGCCTTCAAGAACAAGACGAGCGAAGACGTGTCGCTGCTGGTGATCGACTCCATCGTGGACGTCGTCTTCTTCATCGATATAGTGCTAAACTTCCACACCACCTTCGTGGGCCCCGGCGGCGAGGTGGTCAGCGACCCGAAGGTCATCCGTAAGAATTACTTCAAGTCGTGGTTCCTGATCGACCTGCTGTCATGTCTTCCGTACGACGTGTTCAACGCGTTCGACCACGACGAGGACGTGAGTAGCGGGGCCGGGGGGAGGGTCGCCCCGGCCGGCCCCTTACTGACGCTGGCTGTCCGCAGGGTATCGGCAGCCTGTTCAGCGCTCTGAAGGTGGTGCGCCTGCTGCGCCTGGGCCGCGTGGTGCGCAAGTTGGACCGGTACCTGGAGTACGGCGCCGCCATGTTGATCCTGTTGCTCTGCTTCTACATGCTGGTGGCGCACTGGCTCGCCTGCGTCTGGTATAGCATCGGTCGCTCCGATGCCGACTCGGGCCTGCAGTACTCGTGGCTGTGGAAGCTCGCCAACGTGACTCAGAGCCCGTACTCGTACGTGTGGTCCAACGAATCCGACGGGCCCGAACTCGTCAACGGCCCATCGCGCAAGACCATGTACGTGACCGCGCTCTACTTCACCATGACCTGCATGACCTCCGTGGGCTTCGGCAACGTCGCCGCCGAGACCGATAACGAGAAGATCTTCACCATCTGCATGATGATAGTGGCAGGTGCCGGAATTCTTCTGTTATTAGCCGGAGCACGGCGCGACCCCCGCGCAGCCGCTGCGGCGGGGGCCGCGCCCTCCCCACTCGTCCTCTCTCTCCCCACTCGCCCTCCCTCCCCCCTGGACCCCGCACTCGAGTGTGAGTTGGCCCCACACCCCTCGTCCCGTATCCATCCACTGCCCATGTATAGTTTAGTTTGTGTTGAGTTGTCCGTCCTCGTCCGTCCTGAGTCCCCGTGCAGGCCCACGAAGCGTCACGGCGCGTCACATACGCGGTGCGAGCCTCTCGTACGTACGTCAAGTGCGGGCTACTCTATTACTACACAGACATAACGTCTAACGCCATGAAATTGCTGTAGTATCCGCGCCTGGCGTCGTACGTGACGCTCTATGCATTATGTTGGTTTGGACCACTCGTAACGGTGTCATGAATACTTCTAATTAAACTTTGACGATGCATTTTTCTTCAAAAATTTTAGTTAATTCCCCATTTAACTATATGTATACGGACTACTAGTAATAACAATTTCCTTGGATTAACTTGGTATTTGAACTTGACTGGTCGTAGTCACAAGTAGACGACTGACGGACAGTCATGCTCGGGGCCACGAACAGTGTTAACCCCGTTGTGATGTGATCCCGGCTATCTATAGAAGGGCTCATTTAGTTTTGTGCTATCTATTGTGAGATGACGTAGGTAAAGTAGTACCTATGTATTTTTCGAGCCAGAAGATCGCACTAATCATACTGTTCCCACGTCGTAGATAAACTGTAATATAACATTGAATGCAAAGTATTGCCAAAGTAACGCGTGAGCGGCGCGGGCTCACCGCGAAGCGTTGCAATGTTGCCAGCCCTGCTGTACGCCACCATATTCGGCCACGTCACCACCATCATCCAGCAGATGACCTCCGCCACGGCCAAGTACCACGACATGCTGAACAACGTGCGCGAGTTTATGAAGCTGCACGAGGTGCCCAAGGCGCTGAGCGAGCGCGTCATGGACTACGTGGTGTCCACGTGGGCCATGACCAAGGGACTGGACACCGACAAGGTAAGGCTCGGCCCACGGCCCGACCCGGCCGGCCAGCCCGCGGCCCGACCCGGCCGGCCCGCGGCCCTCTGACGGCGTGCGTGCGCAGGTGCTGAACTACTGCCCCAAGGACATGAAGGCGGACATCTGCGTGCACCTGAACCGCAAGGTGTTCAACGAGCACCCCGCGTTCCGCCTGGCGTCGGACGGCTGCCTGCGCGCGCTGGCCATGCACTTCCAGATGTCGCACTCGGCGCCCGGCGACCTGCTGTACCACACGGGCGAGTCCATCGACTCGCTCTGCTTCATCGTCACGGGCAGCCTCGAGGTCATCCAGGACGATGAGGTCGTCGCTATTCTCGGTATGTGGAGTCCCGTCTTCCGCTTTACCTATCCCGAATTACCTGGACTCGGCTTCGATCATATACAAGGAATTTGGCGCATGGACCGACACAATTTTTGTTGAGATTTGATAGATCACTTTTACCCCAAATGTTTACCCCAAATGACCACTTTTGTCCCAAATGTCACAGCACATACATTTTTTGTTGAAATGAAAAATATACCCAGTCCCAAAATGTTTCTTTTAACTCAAAGTAGTTTTTTTATTTGTGGGTCTAGTCAAATGTAGTGGTTCATCTGATTTTAATTGTAAGAAAAAAATGGGTCGCGCCCTGTATATGTATGTTATATATCATATTTATAATATATAACATATACTATTTATAATAGTCATATTTGTTTAGTCCTTTTATAATTTAAATTTAATGAAAAACTTTGCTTTGATGTCGATATGCAATCTAAACGTGTATACTTTCTGCTCCATCGGTTGAAGATAATATTTCTCCTTCAAACTTCAATTGCAAGATTGCTCTTCGTACTAACACACATACATAACATATTATTTTGACATTATACATATAGCAAGTTATTAAAAGCTTGTAAAAATGTATCCCCACACGACACCGTGTTTTTCACCGTGGGAGAGCCATGCTTCGGCACGAATGGGCCGGCTCGACCGGAGTAATACCACGGCCTCACAGAAAACCGGTGTGAAACAGCGCTTGCGCTGTGTTTCACCGAGTGAGTGAGGGTACCGGAGGCCCAACCCCCCCCCCCTCATAATGTCGCAGTTGATTCAAGAGTTTCTACCCCAGGAGGGTACCAACTGCGTTGGAGAATCCCTCTCTGGACGTCCATTTTCAGAACTCAACTACCCTGAGCGTGGACGTCCAGGCCGCCCCACATCGTACTCTGGGGGGGGCAAAACTGCGCATCATAAAGCTGGAGGCAAGAGCAGAATAACCATGGCACCCCTTGCCACGCTGAATGTGGACTTCTGCAACATAAGGGGATTACACACCAACCTCAATGCTGTCCATCACCACCTAGAGACAGCAAAGCCGGCCTTGCTCTTTTTGACTGAGACGCAGATATCGTCTCCGTTGGACACATCCTACCTC